TTCGATTCACATTTTGCGCTTTCGTTCCTGGTGCTCGTTTCTCGTCGTTTGTGTCGGCACTGGTGGGTTCGTTGTTGGTCTCCCACCTGCGGATTTCGTCTCGGGGGCGGTGTGTGGTTTTCTAGTTTTCCTATCATTGCGAAGGGTTCTTCAGTCTCTGATAGGGTTGGCTTGTTTTCCCTTCGGGGTTGTTCCGGGACCGTCATCTGGGACCGTGTCCTGTCATCTCGTATTGGGTGGTGCTGGTGGAGCCGCTCCAGCTTGCGTTTGGTGTTGCGTTTCCTTCTGCTCCGTTCCGCTTGCTTTCCTGGGCATTGTTTTACCTCCGGCCTGCTCTTGAGTTCTGGTGCCGTCCTGGTCGTTGGCCTGGGTGGTCTATTTTCTTCTCGTTTTGGTCTTTGGGTTGCTGCTTGGTTGGTCGAGCCAGGGGGGGGGGTGCTTGCTTTGTTGTTTGGTTGCATTTTTTTGCTGTTCTCTGCGTGTCTTGGCCTCTGGGGTCGTGGACACGTTTTGATTGTTCACGTTCCATTTTTCCCTCGTTCCTGTTCGGGGGTTCGGGTCTGCAGGGTCTTTGTTTCGTCTGTGGTCTTGGTTTCTTAGCCCTGGCCAAGGCCAGGGCGCGCATGACAGAGCTCAGGCAAGATATCAGGGAAACTTTTGTTAACAGTCTCAACTCTCACACCCCCCTCAGCCAGGCATGGAAGGATATTAAAAGAATTAAAGGCGATAAGATCGGCCAAGTAGCACACCCTCAGCCTCTACACAGAGCAAACGAGTTAGTCGATGCTTGGGCAACCACCTCTAGCTTCAATAATCTTCCCCCAGACATACAGTTCAGATTAAATGCTGGTTACGGAGACCGAGAAAGGCTCGTTGACTTCATGCTCCACAAGGAAGATGAATGCAACGTGCCATTTACTGAGTTTGAATTACTCGCGGCCCTAAACAAAGGCAAAGCCACATCCCCCGGTGAAGATGGTATCACTTATGACATATTGCGTCTGCTCCCTTTAGTACCAGGGAATCCCCTGCTTGAGCTGTATAATATGAGCTATGTTACTGGGGAACTTCCTATCTCTTGGACCAACAGTATAATCATTCCAATTCCCAAGCCAAATCAAGAGAATGCTTTCCACCCAATTTCCCTTACTAGCTGCATTTGCAAAACGTTCGAGAGAATGGTCCTAAACCGTCTCCTAAACTTATTCCTCCATAGAATAAGAACCATGCTATCCCCCCAGATATATGGCTTCATGCATGGAAGGAATGTGCATCATTGCATCACCACCTTTCTTACCCCTGCACACTGAAAAGTCATATACCACCTTCCTAGATCTTAAGTCTGCCTTTGATATTGCAAATAGACATGTTATCTTGAGTGAGCTTGCAAGAATGAATATTGGTGGTCGGCTTCTTTGTTGGATCAGGGGTTACTTATCCAACAGGAAGTCATCTGTAATTTTTCCAGGGGCATAGGAGTGTAACAAGAGACTTTGAACTAGGTACCCCGCAGGGAGGTGTCCTCAGTCCTACCTTATTTAATATCTTAATAAACACGTTGTTAAACTCTATACCGAGCAAACTCAACGTCCACATCATTAACTATGCTGATGATATAATGATACACACCACTGGGTATGCTAACATGCAGAACACTCTTAAATCTGTATTAGACTCATGTCAAGACCTAGGTTTACTCATCTCAGCAGAGAAAACAAAGATACTAAATCGGCGCCCACCCAGGCAGGGAGGAGCTGTTCGCAAGATGCAACTGTCTGATAGCTCCCAGCTTGACTATGTTAACATATTCATATTCATATACATATACACCTTGACCTTGAGGTGCCACTGTATGGACCTGTTGTATTCAGACTCTGTCGTCAGTATAAAGAGAGGCTCCGAGCTCTCAAGGCTGTTGCAGGTTATCACTCAGGCTATGGTGCCAACGTTAGAATTGTCAAAATGATGTACTTTGCATACATCAGATCTTTAGTGGATTATGCTGCACCTCTGCTTGTTTTGATGCCTGAAAGAAAGCTTGGAGGGCTTGAAAAATTGCAGAACGAAGCCTTGAGGATAATTCTAGGGTGCCCTCGTACCACAAAGATACTTAGTATGAGAAAGAAACTTAACATTCCGAGCGTTGTTGATCGTGTTACTGAAATTAACTGTCGAATTGGTATAAAAATGCTTAGGCTAACTCATCCTAACCCTTGCACAGAAGCTCTCCAGAATTTCTTTATTGAAGATCAGCATTGTTCCAAATGGATAACTAAAACTGGAACTCAACTCAGAATGTATCAGGTTCATGATTTGTACCAAGAGAAACAACAACGGCACTTTCCTGCACCGTGGGAGGTTACACTCTTTCCAGTTTTAATCCCTCCCTTTCCACCCAAGAAGCAAATTAGAGATCAGCCCAAGCTTCGTCTTGAGGCAAAGCTCAACGCCTTAAGCCATATTGATGCTCTGTCCACAGAGCATTCTCTCTCTCAAATCATATACACTGATGGTTCCCTACACCGCACCACGGGTGCAGCTGGAAGTGCAGTTGTCCTGACAATGGGCGATGGCTTATATTTTGAGTGGGGAGTCCGTATAAACAACTGGGCCTCTACCCTTCATACAGAACTATTTGCCTTGCTCCTTGCACTGAAATGTGTACAAGTCTCAAAACTTGATGCATTAATTGTAAGTGACTCCTTTTCATCCTTAATTGCTCTCAACTCTTTAAGACATAACTGTAACATGCTCGTGTCCGAAGCTAGACACAAATACAACAAAATTATTAAGGATGGTAACAGAGTCCATTTCATGTGGTCTCCATCTCATGTTGGCCTCTGAATGCATGATAGAGCTAAGTTAGCCAAAGAATCTGCCTTTAAAGGAGCCGTTGAGTGTAACCTTGGATTGTCAATGAGCAATCTGAGAGCAGCAGTACACCGAGAACTTCAACAAGATCTTGTAGATCTGAGGCAAAGTGAAATTGACACCAGTAATTCCATCTATCATCATACTATCATGCAAGAGGAGCCACACAGGGGAACTGCCAGATATTTGGAAAGCAGCTAACGTAGTCCCGATATACAAGAAAGGGGATAGACAGGAGGCACTGAACTACAGGCCAGTGTCCCTAACCTGCATACCATGCAAGCTGATGGAGAAGATTGTGCGAAAAAAACTAGTGGAGCATCTGGAGCGAAGGAACTTTGTAACACAGCATCAACATGGGTTCAGGGATGGCAGGTCCTGCCTCACAGGGTTACTTGAATTCTACGACCAGGCAACAAAAATAAGGCAAGAAAGAGAAGGGTGGGCAGACTGCATATTTTTGGATTGTCAGAAAGCCTTTGATACAGTACCACACAAGAGGCTAGTGCGAAAGTTGGAGATGCAGGCTGGAGTGAGAGGGAAGGTACTCCGGTGGATAGAGGAATACCTAAGCAACAGGAGACAACGAGTCTGTGTGAGGGGTGAGGCCTCAGATTGGCGAGACGTCACAAGTGGAGTCCCGCAGGGGTCAGTCCTTGGACCTATACTGTTTCTGGTATATGTAAATGATCTCCCAGAGGGTATAGATTCGTTCCTCTCAATGTTTGCCGACGATGCAAAAATTATGAGGAGGATTGAAACAGAGGATGATAGTAGGAGGCTACAAGATGACCTGGATAGACTGAGTGAATGGTCCAACAAATGGCTGTTGAAGTTCAACCCGAGTAAATGCAAAGTAATGAAACTAGGCAGTGGAAACAGGAGGCCAGGCACAGGATACAGAATAGGAGATGAAGTACTTAATGAAACAGACAGAGAGAAAGATCTAGGAGTTGATATCACACCAAACCTGTCTCCTGAAGCCCACATAAAGAGAATAACGTCTGCGGCATATGCGAGGCTGGCTAACATCAGAACGGCGTTCAGGAACCTGTGTAAGGAATCATTCAGAATCTTGTACACCACATATGTAAGACCAATCCTGGAGTATGCGGCCCCAGCATGGAGCCCGTACCTTGTCAAGCACAAGACGAAGCTGGAAAAAGTCCAAAGGTATGCTACTAGACTAGTCCCAGAACTAAGAGGCATGAGTTATGAGGAAAGGCTGCGGGAAATGCACCTCACGACACTGGAAGACAGAAGAGTAAGGGGGGACATGATCACAACCTACAAAATCCTCAGGGGAATCGACCGGGTAAACAAGGATGAACTATTCAACACTGGTGGGACGCGAACAAGGGGACACAGGTGGAAGCTGAGTACCCAAATGAGCCACAGAGACGTTAGAAAGAACTTTTTCAGTGTCAGAGTAGTTAGTAAATGGAATGCATTAGGAAGTGATGTGGTGGAGGCTGACTCCATACACAGTTTCAAATGTAGATATGATAGAGCCCAGTAGGCTCAGGAATCTGTACACCAGTTGATTGACAGTTGAGAGGCGGGACCAAAGAGCCAAAGCTCAACCCCCGCAAGCACAATTAGGTAAGTACAATTAGGTGAGTACACATCTATGGATCATCCAATAAAATCAGCAGACTTCTAGATGTTACTACTGCTCGGCTTAGACTCGGTTACAAGTATCTCTGGGAATTCTCATTATCTGCTGATGTAGACCTGACCAAATGTAAACTGTGTCAACAAAATTATTCGCACACCCTCCGTCACTATGTGATGGAGTGCGAAAAGATACGTGAATTCAGGGACAATTCTATAACAAGTGTTCAAAAAATGTGTAAATATTTAATTCAAAATGATCTGTTACCAGAAATTTTAGCTAAATATCCCCAGTTTGCTAACTGTAGGTAGTAACTAAGTGATTGTAACCTATCCACCGCTGCCCACTGGATGGGGGGCGGTGTGCAGGACAAACATATCAATTGTGACACTAGCTCTCCACATATGTCAGTTGCTTAATTTAGAAACTGTACTTGTGGTCGATGTCGAACCCATTGTTGATGTGACGAGTTATACTGAATTTTGTTACCACCTTTACATAATAAAACAATAGCTAATTTGGAATTTTAATTATTACATTTGAATTCATCAAGTCAAAATGCACGATAAACAACTCTTTTCATTTCAGAAGCAGATGATGTTTATCATCTACCATCAAACTTTTAAAGGTCAATCGGCTTTTACTTTCCGTTTATTAATCACAATTGGCAAGATATTTATGACGAGGACGATCAAGAGAGCCATGAAGCAGGTCAGCAGGAGTAAGAGGAGCAGGTAGACGTCTGCGTTGGCCTGCTGAAGCAGGTACAGTCCTCCATTGTCCTTCTTTACAAGTCTGTCAGGGAAAAGGAAATATTATTGTGCGAATGACGGCTTTCCGCTGTTCATAAAGTATTTTAGCTGTTAATTAACACCGTTGTATTATCACAGTTTATGCGGGTGTTGCTATAGTGAGGGTTAACGATGGCATCTAAAGCCAACTAAAATATACTGATACAAATTGATGCTACTTAACATATATATATATATATATATATATATATATATATATATATATATATATATATATATATATATATATATATATATATATATATATATATATATATAATGACGTCACTGTCAGGGGCCCCAGATGATCACTTGTTTTCTTTTTTTTTCAGAGGATCACCAACCAGTGTATGTGCGTTTGTCACCTTCTTCACTACACACTGTCTTTATTACTGTCACCTTCTTCACTACACACTGTCTTTATTACTGTCACCTTCTTCACTACACACTGTCTTTATTACTGTCACCTTCTTCACTACACACTGTCTTTATTACTGTCACCTTCTTCACTACACACTACCTGTGTATATCAACCTTCACTATGCTCTATCTTCATCACTGTAAGTCTATTCAATACTCACTATTATTATCACTGAATAAAATTTCACTATTCACTACCTCCATCACTGTAAATTATCTTCATCACTACACTCTCTCTTCATCAATGTAACCATTTTGACTATACTACATCACAGTAACCAACTTCACTACACAATACATGCATCACTGTAACAATCTTCACTGCACACACTCTTCATCACCGTAACCATCACTACCTTGCAATAATTTCGGGGCTCAACGTCCCCGTGGCCCGGTCCCTGACCAGGCCTCCTATACACTATTCATTGTCTCCATGTTTTTTGACGATTCTGGGCTCCCAGCACTTGAGTAAAAAGTAATATGATGAGTGAATCTTATTGAGGGTTTGGTATCAATGGGCTGCAAGAAGGACCCCGCCAACCCCCTATGACCATCCCTAACACCCTCTAGTCACCCTGCAAAGTGTCATGAGAATTAGCCACAAGCCTACCTTTGGACAGAGATATTTTCTGCTATGGATATATAACACTGTTATCACGGCCTCAACACTAATAACATCATGCTCCCTCTAGTACTAATACATGCTAAGAAGCGTACCTTCGCGCATGTGTCCTGCGCATGATTCGCTCGAGAGTGACCAATAGTCGGTCAGGCGGCGCCAGTGGCCGGTCGTGCAGGTCCTCTGCCAGTTCCCGACCCCGCTCTCGGAAACTGCCCGGGAGAGGGAAGGAGGGAATTATCAGGGGGAAGCACCGAGCCATTACCACTATATAGCACTTGGTAGGGGTCAGGATAAGGATTTGGGATGGGACGGGGGAAAGGAATGGTGCCTAACCACTTGTACGGCCGTGGATTAAACGCCATCCTGCATAAAGCGAGGCCGTCGCTCTAACGTCCAGCCCAAGTGGTTGGGCATAAAATTATAATTTTTTCATTATAACAATTTTTTTATATGATACATGAAAAATTGCTGAATTGAAATATTAAAAAAATTATTATTAACAAACTTAGGTATTCACAGCAATGTGCTGCTTCCTATTTCTATATGAAGGATTACAAAATGTAGATAAAAGACTAGCTATAAATTCAGCTACTATCTCCATCTCACAGGATGGTTAGTCATACATGAAATCAGGAGAGAACATAGAATATAAGACTGATCTATTAGCCTCCACTAGCACACTCTGGGTGCAGCACAAGAATATCTTCCAATATTCCTGCGTGTATGAAGTATTAACAGAGCTCAAAGTACCTCATACCATTAGGTCTGAAGTCACTTATAACAGGACAATCACAGGTATAGTGTTGGAGAGTGTCCCAGCTCTTGTTCACACAGTTTACAATTGGAATGTTCACCATTGGGGGGATTCATTACCTGCAGCCGCCCGCCACAGATACCGATATCCCAGCCTAATTCTGGCCATTACAATGTCTTTTTTTTTTTGAGATATATACAAGAGTTGTTACATTCTTGTACAGCCACTAGTATGCGTAGCGTTTCGGGCAGGTCCCTGGAATACGATCCCCTGCCGCGAAGAATCGTTGTTACAACCAAGTACACATTTTACTGTTAAGTTAAACAGAGGCTACAGTTAAGGATTTGCGCCCAGTAAATCCTCCCCGGCCAGGATACGAACCCATGACATAGCGCTCACGGAACGCCAGGCGAGTGTCTTACCACTACACCACGGAGACATGTCACTGTCTACTGGATACTTTATGCTCCCGTACATATAATTTTCGGTTCTAAACATGTCATTGCTCTCTATACTCGTGCTTTCTGGCCTTTGTGTGTCAGTGACTGCTCTTTTGTTTTTTTATTAATAAACCAGCCGCCGGAGGAGGCTAGTTTATTATGCACCCCATACTCATCCTGTGAGCGGTAGTGCAAAAAGCATTACACAGGGCACAAAAGGTCTTTATCAGACCTTATCTTAGATTATTACATAAACAATTTCATCTATCCTTCACTCCATATAGTTACAATGTTACACCTTATAGTAACAGAGAATGTTCAATTTAAAGAGCTATATATTTACAATAAGTCATTATACATTGATTGGTAGGTCTTATCGCTAACACAGAATTGTTTGAGCAATTGAGATATTATAGAGTCATTGGGGAGCTGCTGTTTATTATTAGTCTTCACAATACACTACTTGATTCTTAATCTCATATGTCGTTTATCTACTGGAAGCGAAATATGCATACAGTACAAGGATTTCAGGTATTTTATCCTTGGTAATAAGATAGGTTGCCATATCACACAGCGTGAGCTTAGATTTATCTTTAAATGGCTCAATTTTACTACAATCCAAGATATAGTGTTCGAATGTGTGTCCCTGTCTTTGTCCACACACTTTACACTTTACTTCATCTATATCCCTATACAAGCCGAACTGCCAGAGATACTTGTAGCCAAGTCTTATACGAGTTGTGATAACGTCTGTTAGTCTACTGACCTTGTTACTTGCCCCATATACATGTTTTACTTCACACATTTCATTGTGATAAACAATGGACCTGCTAGTTCCAGTTTGCACTCTTCTACTTTCTTCAAATTCATCCATAAGTCCAAGATAACTCAAGATTCCGTTCAATACTGTCACTATTCACAGCAACCTTAGAAAGGGCATCAACTTTATCATGTTCCTGCAGGCCAATGTGAGAAGGAATCCACAACATTTTTATATTTGTGTGCTTTACAAATCAAATTTACAATACCAAATGCTCTACAAATCAAGGGACCTCGAATGTGGAATGACCTTCCCAATTATGTTAAAGACTGTACCTCTCCCAACCAGTTTAAGATAAAAACTAAGTACTAACTAATTAACTCCATGTAACCTACCTCACCCCTAAAATGTCAACCCATGTCTACTACTTTAAACAATGCTGTTTGTTGACAAAATTGTATTTTTCCTTTTTTCTGCCATGTTCCCCCCCCCCCACTTTTTTATTTTTTTCTTATTTTTTCTCAACACAATTTATACTTTAATCTCAATTAGTATTAAGTTTTAGTCTTAGTGTTTTTCCTGCCCGAAACGTTTTGCGTAATAGAGGCTTTAGGCATTGTATGTACTAGCTCTATCTATAACTCCATCAACTTTTTGTATCTCACCCTGTATGTATGTACTTACCTGAATAAATATTTGTCTTTTACCCTCTTGCTAAGTTGGCTTATATATCTATGTCTGGCTTCTGAGACAAGCAGGTTATTACTTGATTGCAAACTGTTTATTGCTCGTAATGAGGAAAGGGAGTCGGAAATAATTAAGCAGTCTACTTCAGTGTTGTCAATAATTTCGAGTGCTAACAGTATTGCTACAACTCAGCTTGCATTGTGGATACCCCTGCAGTTATTAATTCTTTTATTCCTTTGAATTGTGCTGCCATCGGGCTGATGAGCAATAACAGCACTTCCTCCCCTCCCTGTAGCTGTATTAAGTGATCCGTCAGTGTACATGGTCTGTGCGATGTTGTTCTTCTGTCTTCCCTAATTTCCTGAAACATTGTGGCTTTTACAAGTGATTGGAATACCCAGGTCTAACTCAATACCAGGCTTATTGATACAATGCCACACGAAAGACTGATTAAAATGATAGAGGCTCATGGTATTGGGGGGTGTTATATTAAGTTGGATTTGAGCATGGCTATACAAAAGGAAACAGAGAGTCAATATAAATGGGGTTAAGTCAGAGTGGGAAAATGTTGTAAGTGGAGTACCTCAAGGCTCTGTCTTGGGACCTCTGTTGTTTATAATATATATTCCGATTTATAATATAGATTTAGATTCAGGTTTGAGTAGCAACATTTGCAAATTTGACGATGATACAAAAATCGGCAGGGAAATTAACACGGAAGAAGACTCACTATCACTTCAAGTTGATCTAAATAGGGTTTTGAAATGGTCAAAAGATTGACAGATGAAATTTAATGCTGATAAATATAAAGTTCTGAGGCTAGGTAATGATGATAGAGTTACAAGATAGAGCTAGATGGTGTTGAGATTGCGAAAGGGATCTGGGAGTTATGATTAGTAAGAATTTAAAACCAAAGGATGAATGCATGAATGTTCGTAATAAGGCAAATAGGACACTGGGATTTATTTATCGAAGCGTTAGTAACAAGACACCTGGTGTGGTTCTCCAGCTATATCTTGCTCTGGTTAGGCCCCATTTAGATTATGCAGTTCAGTTTTGGCCGCCGAATGGATATAAATTCGCTTGAACGTGTCCAGCGTAGGATGACAAAGTTAATTCCCCAAATTAGAAATCTTTCATATGAAGAAAGATTAACAAAGCTTAAAATTGCATTCACTGGAAAGGCGAAGAGTTAGGCGTGACATGATAGAGGTTTACAAGTGGATGAATGGACGTAACAAGGGGGGATATTAATAGGGTATTAAAAGTATCAACACAAGACAGAACATGAAACAACGGGTATAAATTGGATAAGTTTAGATTTAGGAAAGACTTGGGTAAATATTAGTTCGGTAGGAGGGTTGTTGATTTGTGGAACTAATTACCGCGTAACGTGGTGGAGGTGGGGTCCCTCGATTGTTTCAAACGCGGGTTGGACAAGTATATGAGTGGGATTGGGTGGTTATAAATAGGAGCTGCCTCGTATGGGCCAACAGGCCTTCTGCAGTTACTTTTGTTCTTATGTTCTTATCACATGCTGCTGTAGCTAGCGGCCTTGTACTTACCTAGTTGTACTCACCTAGTTGTGGTTGTGGAATCAAAGTGTTTTGGCTCTTTGTTCCCGCCTCTCAACTGTCAATCAACTGGTGTACAATGTCCTGAGCCTATTGGGTACTATCATATCGACATTTGAAATTATGTATGGAGTCTACCTCCAACACATCGCTGCTTAATGCATTTGTTAACTACTCTGACACTGAAAAAAATTCTTGCTAATGTCTCTGTGACTCATTTAGGTACTAAGTTTCCACCTGTGTCCTCTTGTTCGTGTTCCAACCGTGCTAAAGAGTTTGTCTTTGTCCACTCTGTCAATTCCCCTGAGAATTTTGTTGTGGTTATTATGTCTCCCCTTTGTCTTCTGTCTTCCAGGGTTGTGAGGTTTAGCTCCCTCCGTACCATCATGCTGGACAACACCCATGTGAGATGGCATCCATACAAATAAGACTGTGTGTATTACCTATGTTCTATGGATCTAATATGACTATAATGAAAGTCATAACTTTACTAGTATTTGTTTTGCATGTTGGGCTTCCATGTGCCTGATTACAGTGATATCTGCAATGTATTTTTTGAAAGGTTATGCAGGAAATATTAATATGTATATCGTATAGCCTATTGGATACAACTATTTTTAACATTTGGGTAATTATAGGTGCCACACCTCACCTTCTATCACCAGCCAGGGTGATCATGGCCTCCCTCAGTGCTGGCACTGTGACGTCAGCAGCTGGCACCACCACCGCTAACCCTAGTTGTGGAAAATCAGACGGGAAAGACAAATTTAATTAGTCCTAGATAGTCTGATACATTTTCTAAAATATAAAATTTATATAACTATCAAAATAACTGAAGTGAAATAAGTTTGCATATTTCAAAATCCAAATAATTCATGATAAAAATTATATATATTTGGAATTTTAATGAATCAATTTAAGTCATATTCAAGTGTTCATGTTCAAGTTCAAGTACATTTATCAAGACAATAAATTACATCTCAAAATGATAGTATCTTAGGCCATTTCAATCCTCCTCTACTTCAGGTCCTGAAGGGACTCACAAATCCATACAGACATAAATTATATTTTACATTACACATTAAAACAGTGAACACAGAACTTAGTACAAACTGGAGTTTAGTGTTACACTCTTGGGATTTTCACATACATTCTCATGTCAGTATAGACACAATTATTCTCTATGTACATTCTCATATATATAGAGAGAATAATTGCATAATTCTGTAACTTTTTCAAGTAATGGGACCCATAGCACAGTGGTCTATGTGCTTGGCTCGCAACTGAGGCCAATATAGAGTGACCCTAAAGACATCATGTCCCCAAATAGGCCAGAGATCTGGCTCCCATTGTGGGAACCGACCTGTGAGATTTATATTTATTTAATTTATATGAATTTATATTTACGTTAATTTATATACTTCGATAGCAATTTGTATAATGATAAGTGGACTGTATTTCTGCAATAATCTCATAATCTCACAAATCGATCCTCTACACATTAGGGGGGGTTATTAAATTAATATATATGCAGCCAATCAAACTACAGTAATAGCTACATACATTGATGAGGTTCCTTATCTTATAGTACAGCAGGTTAGTCCACCAGGTATAACTAGGGTGTAGACACCAAATTATCCTCTTTGAGGTAGCTTCCATATCACCCAGTAACTGGTGCACATAATCTTGCATCCTCGTCTTGACCTGTCAAAAGTGCGCTAGCTGTGAAGCCAGAATCCTATATATGACAAGTATATCAGAGAAAACAGTACATGGAACATTAAAGACCTGGCTTAATTACCTTTAGTATGAGGCGATTTCGCGTTCTAACCGGCTAACCCTATATCCTGACATTAATGGCCATAAATGAATGATAAACGGGTTTCGGATAGACACTTAACTTGTATTTGTAGACAGCGTGTTGACAATGGTACACCTTTGGGTTCCATAACACTACGTCCAAGTAAATTTAACAGGAGCCGAATTTGCTCCCGTGTGAGCCTCTGGTCTCAATAAACAATGATGGCTGCCCTCCTTCCTCCACTCTGACGCCTGGCTTACATTGTCCAGATTTCAGAACGTGATAGAAGGGTCACATTTACTCTACTTTAATATTGATAATTAAGTTAATTTATATAAGATGTTTTTATGATGGTAAAGTCCAAAGACTAATGTATTTAAGAATAATTCCCAGCAGAATAGCTGGTGAATTATAATAGTATGTGGTGATGATATCCCGTTTTCTTTAGACGGTAATTCCACTACAAGTTACGTTTTCTATGGGTAACTTGTTTATACAACACAGCTCTTATCTGTCTGTATGATATATTAAATGCTGTCGGATTTTCCGACATAATTCCCCAGGGGGCTGCTCACGGGTCGAAGTCCTGATTAGAACAGACGAACACCGATACTCCTCCATCGAATTATTACATTAATTTGATGTTAGTAGTTAGTAATCACACATTTGTGCGTCTGTTCGTACAGGACGGATGTCCCGTACTAGAGTTGCAGGGGTTAGAAGTCTAATGCGAATTCATTTCCCTGTTAACTCTTGTAAGGCTAATATTCAAGCCTTATTGCATATTATTTAACCCAGAAGACTGGATGTGATCAAGTACTACAGTCAAGTATGATTCAGGGACTGCAGTGAGATCAGTGACATTAGATATAACTTGAAATTTCTTCAGGTAACTGGTCACTGATATATAAACACTGAGGCCCATGGAATACATCTTGATTAAATAATAAATGTATCAAATCAGTCATCAGATTTATTGGGGTTTAATTTAGTTAATTGATTAAGAAGATTGAATAGCTCATCATTAAAGTAAAGTATGGTTCTGAGACTGCAGTGGGTTCAGTGACATTGGTCGCAGTGACTTGTAGCTGTTTTAGGCTACTGTTCACTGATTTGCCACTGAGGCCTCATGAACTCATCTTCAGCTTCAAATGATGATACTAACATCAACCTCTGTTACTATAGTCAGCTGTAATCTCCTTAGTATAATGCTACTGGAGAAATATAATCAGCTGACAAATTTAGATTTCTATTGGTATTGTTTATCTGCAGGCATAGGTCTCCTCAGGCTTGATACTGGGCCTGAGAGTAATTTACCTCCTGCAGAGTTTAACATGGTTATGCCCTGATATTTAGTAGGGCTACCAATGAATTGATGGTAGTAGTCTGTCCCCACAAGGACAGCCATTTGGCATTTGATTTGCTCAAATTTACCTGCAGCTGCTTGATAATAGCTTTCCAGGTCAGCATAATCAACTTGAGATTGTTGTGACAAATCTTCACATTTCTTGATCTGTCTTGTTAAGTGGCCTTTAAGACCTGCAAGGGTTCTTTTCATTCTCCCTGCATTATCCATCCTGGCTAGTTGGTGAAGCCTTGTGGGACTTGTACTTGGGCTGCTCATAATACTGAACAAACACTAATGGTAGCCTAGGGTAAATTCTGAACTCACTAGGCAATAATCCTACCTCTACTAGAGGTTAGCACTTAAAATTAATACACATTATATATATACAATCATCCACACTAATGATTTGAGTGATAAACCAGTGTCACTGGAAGTACCTTTAGGTTAGCTCTTCTATATCACCCTAGGATGGAAGAGACACTAATTAATCACTCAAAGGTGTGATGATCATAAGTAAATTATTATATATACAACTCAACTCGAGTTGATAAAAATTACACCCAAAATAGGGTCTGGACCATTCATTAATGGTGTTAGGTTAATCAATATAGTACAACTGACTATGGTAATAATGGGACTAGGATGAACGATAATAGTTCAACTAGTCATATCCTACCCTGTTGTGGGTTGGCAATTAGTAAATATTATACTGTGATCACTAGTGCAATATATATTAAATAATTCTCTATTTTGAAGAAATAATATACACAATTATTGATAATAGCCTCTTAATTAGCCTCTATGAAACTTCTAATATTATCTAGAAGTATTAAATATTATTAGTGACCTCGCGAAATAAACTCCACAAAATTCGTAGATAATCTCTCGCGAAATGTAACACCACGAAATCCGTGAACAATCTCACGAAGACCCCAGCCACTAATTTGGCTGGATTCTATATTAGCGCTGTCATTTCACAGAATAACACGCCACCAAATGTCTGTGGGTGTACATGAAACCGCTGACTAAGGCTGAACTCGGCTGAGGGAGGCTCCTGAGCTCCCACGAGGCATCGCCGCTGTCTATGACTGGCTGGCTTTGTTTAAATAACACTGCACTAGTATATTTAATGAATCCACTGGATAACTGGTTCATCCGGTACTAAGATGACCAAATGTGGGTTCATAGGACCGAATATTCCGGTTCCGAAGGTCCAAATAATGTGGGAACCGACCTGTGAGATTTATATTTATTTAATTTATATGAATTTATATTTACGTTAATTTATATACTTCGATAGCAATTTGTATAATGATAAGTGGACTGTATTTCTGCAATAATCTCATAATCTCACAAATCGATCCTCTACACATTAGGGGGGGTTATTAAATTAATATATATGCAGCCAATCAAACTACAGTAATAGCTACATACATTGATGAGGTTCCTTATCTTATAGTACAGCAGGTTAGTCCACCAGGTATAACTAGGGTGTAGACACCAAATTATCCTCTTTGAGGTAGCTTCCATATCACCCAGTAACTGGTGCACATAATCTTGCATCCTCGTCTTGACCTGTCAAAAGTGCGCTAGCTGTGAAGCCAGAATCCTATATATGACAAGTATATCAGAGAAAACAGTACATGGAACATTAAAGACCTGGCTTAATTACCTTTAGTATGAGGCGATTTCGCGTTCTAACCGGCTAACCCTATATCCTGACATTAATGGCCATAAATGAATGATAAACGGGTTTCGGATAGACACTTAACTTGTATTTGTAGACAGCGTGTTGACAATGGTACACCTTTGGGTTCCATAACACTACGTCCAAGTAAATTTAACAGGAGCCGAATTTGCTCCCGTGTGAGCCTCTGGTCTCAATAAACAATGATGGCTGCCCTCCTTCCTCCACTCTGACGCCTGGCTTACATTGTCCAGATTTCAGAACGTGATAGAAGGGTCACATTTACTCTACTTTAATATTGATAATTAAGTTAATTTATATAAGATGTTTTTATGATGGTAAAGTCCAAAGACTTATGTATTTAAGAACAATTCCCAGCAGAATAGCTGGTGAATTATAATAGTATGTGGTGATGATATCCCGTTTTCTATAGACGGTAATTCCACTACAAGTTACGTTTTCTATGGGTAACTTGTTTATACAACACAGCTCTTATCTGTCTGTATGATATATTAAATGCTGTCGGATTTTCCGACACCCATCATCTTGTTCCCATTGTTCCTATAGTAGGATCAGGAAACCTGTTCCCACAGTAGAGCGACGGTCTCGCTTCATGCAGTTCGTCGTTCAATCCCCGACTGTTCACGTCCAACACACTCACCGAGTCCAACACACTCACCCAGTCCAAGACTTACCCAAGTCCTTGAGAGCGGCAGCAGCCATCGTCTGGTCGGTGGTGACGGGTAGACATAGGACAGGAGAACCAAAATAGACGGCAGCCATGGCGTCCGTCTCCCCGCAGGTGGAGACAAGGAGACGGTGGCGGGGGTGGTCTGGGAGACAGAGGGGGGGGTAGGGTGAGGGGTGCTGGTAGAAGCTAAACAAGTGGATAGATTTAGATAGACATGTGACTCCTTCAAGACATGAGGACGGGTAGAATAAAGAACTAGAAAAGTATAAAGAAAAGCAAGATGTATGCGCAAGTTGTAAAAGACAAAAAGACAATCAAGGAAGTGTGTTTGAAAGTCAAAACCAGAAATGACAAACAAGAAGCAGAAATAAGAAAAGCAGTTAGGAAGGAACTGGTAACCAATAGTAAAACTAGTACAAAACACTGCAGATAAAAGCAAGTCCATAACCAATAGTAAAACTAGTACAAAACACTGCAGATAAAAGCAAGTCCATAACCAATAGTAAAACTAGTACAAAACACTGCAGATAAAAGCAAGTCCATAACCAATAGTAAAACTAGTACAAAACACTGCAGATAAAAGCAAGTCCATAATTTTTCTTTGATGTTTAGAAAAGGAAATATCATCTAGGGTGGACAGAGCAGCAGAAGAGATGAAAATCATAGAAAAAATAGTAGGATTAGAAAAAGGCCTAAATTCAAAGGAAAATGTCAGTGATTTAAGGAGGATAGGAAAATATAAGAAAGACAATAACTGCCCCTTAAGGGTGACATTTAATGGAGTGAAACACATGATGGAACTGCTTAGAAATGCCAGAAAATTGCAATGTTATAAGGATAGCAAACTTTGGTCAATAAGACTAAGATCTCTCAAAAGAAGACAGAGAAAAGCTGAAAATGAACCTCACTGAAGCAAAACATGTAAATGGGAATAGAAATGAGGAAGAAAGAAATTATTTTTTCTATAAAGTGTTAGGGACTGAAAAACTAGTGAAATAGTACGTAAAAAACAAAGCAACAAAAGCATTCGAGGAAGGGGGGGGGAGTAAAGAACAAAGGGAAAGGGAAAATGTTCCTGAAAATTGTAAATACCAACATAGATAGAGTGAGATAAAATATATTAGAGATGAAAGATATAATTCAGCTTAGGGTCCCAGATATTGTTGCATTAACAGAGATGAAACTTGAAGAAAATATTTTAAATGAGGTCGTATTCCCAAGGGATTACTCACTTCGGAGACATGACTAAAATATTAGGTAGGGAAAAGGAGTGGCTGTCCTGGTAAAAGAACACCTGAAGGTAAGAGAGTTAATACTTGACAACCCTCTAGAGAAATTACCATAATGACATTGCAGGTCTGGAATCAGGATGACAAACTGAAAATTGTAAATGCCTACAGCCTACCAGCAAGTAACACATAGACTAAGAAAGTACTGGATGACAAACGAAAGGGCCTCATAATGGTCATGAGAGAGAGTTTATAGTACAAGCAGATAAATATAAATCACGATTGTTGGTACTGGGGGACTTCAGCTTTAAGGCAATAGACTGGGAGGCATACGAGGCAGGAACGGAGTACATTTGGACAGGCAGATTTGTAAACCTCATTCTGGAGACATTCATGTGTCAACACGTCAAGTAGGCCACAAGAATGAGGGAAGGAGATGTTCCGTCAGTACTGGATTTAATATTCACCAGGAAAGAAAAAGCGAGTTTTGATATCTAGTACCTTCCTCCCTTGGATAAGAGTGATCATGTACTGTTGGATATCTAGTACATTCCTCCCTTGGATAAGAGTGATCATGTACTGTTGGATATTCAATATTCTTTGAGACATTATCTAGAAGAAACTGGGGACACTGAAATCAGTTGTTAAACTCGATTTCAAGAGAGGACATTATGGGGGAACTCAGAAAAAAATTTAATGAGTGTAATTGGATAGACTTGTTGCTAGGCAAGGAAGCTAATAAGATGTATACCAAATTTTGCAAAATATACGATGAAGGCACACAAACATTCATACCAAAACAGAGATGCAGGACCAGAAAACAGGACTGCTTCAACAGAAATTGCGAGAGGGCCAGAGTCCAAAAGACACAAAAATGGAATCAATATAGGAAGAGGCCAAACCCCCAAACCAGTGATACAAAGATGCGAGAAACAACTACATGGCAGAGAGGAGAGAGGTGGAAAGACATTTTGAAAAAGGGATTGCAGACAAATGTAAAACAGAACCAGGCCTATACTATAAATTCATAAACAACAAATTGCAAATAAAGGATAATATTCAGAGGTTGAAAATGTGAAACAGATTCAGAGAAAATGAAATGAAATGTGTGAAGCATTAAAGGAAAAGTTCCAAAATGTGTTTGTACAAACTGAAATCTTCAGGGAACCAGATACAAAAAGAATTCCAGAGAAAACATAGAGGTATCTAGAGACACAGTGGAAAAAATGCTCAAGGAAATAAGTAAGAACAAAGCAGTTGGCCCAGATGGAGTTTCACTATGGGTTTTGAGAGAATGTGCACCCGAACTCGGCATTCCACTTCAAATGATTTTTCAAGAATTCCTGTTTACAGGAGTGTGTACAGCAAATGTGTGAAAAAGACTAAGATAGTCCCAATCTACAAAGGTGGCGGCATGGAAGACCCCCCTCAATTACAGACTTGTATCGGTGTAACAATCAAAATATTGGAAAAATAATTACAAATAAATGGGTAGAACACCTGGAGAAAAATTATATATCAGACAGACAGTATGGTTTTCAATCTGGAAGATCCTGTGTATCGAATTTACTCAGTTTCTATGATCGAGCCACAGAGATTTTACAGGAAAGAGATGGTTGGGTTGACTGCATCTATCTGGACCTAAAAATAAAACTTTCGATAGTTCCACATAAGAGGTTGTTCTAGAAACTGGAACATATTGGAGGGGTGACAGGTAAGCTACTAACATGGATGAAAAATTTTCTGATAACAAAAATGAGGACAGTAATCAGAGGCAATGTGGACTGGAGAAATGTCACAAGTGGAGTACCACAGGGTTCAGTTCTTGCACCGGCAATGTTCATTGTCTACATAAATGATCTACCAGTTGGAAAACAGAATTATATGAACATGTTGGCTGATGATACTAACATAATAGGAAGGATAAGAAACTTAGATGATAGCAATGTCCTTCAAGAAGACCTGGACAAAATAAGTATATGGAGCACCACTTGGCAAATGGAATTTAATGTTAATAAATGTCATGTTATGGAATGTGGAGTTGGAGAACGAAGACCCCACACAACCTATATATTATGTGAGAAATCTTTAAAGAATTCTAATAAAGAAAAAGATCTAGGGGTGGTTCTAGATAGAAAACTGTCACCTGAGGACCACATTAAAAACGTTGTGCGAGGAGCCTATGCTGCACTTTCTAACTTCAGAATTACTTTTAAATACTGTACATAGATGGCGAAATACTAAAGAAATTATTCACGACTTTTGTTAGACTAAAGCTAGAATATGCAGCGGTTGTGTGGTGCCCATATCTTAAGAAGCACATCAACAAACTGGAAAAGGTGCAAAGACATGCTACTAAGTGGCTCCCAGAACTGAAGGGCAAGAGCTACGAGGAGAGGTTAGAGGCATTACATATGCCGAAACTAGAAGCTAGAAGAAAAAAGAGGTGATATGATCACTACATACATAATAGTAACGAATCGATAAAATAGATAGGGAAGAGTTCCCGAGACCTGGAACTTCAAGAACAAGAGGTCATTGATTTAAACTAACTAAACAAAGATGCCGAAGAAATATAATTAAATTCACTTTCGCAAACAGAGTGGTAGACGATTAGAACAAGTTAGATGAGAAGGTGGTGCAGGCTAAACCCGTCAGTAATTTCAAGGTGTTGTATGACAAAGAGTGCTGGGAAGACGGGACACCACGAGCGTAGCTCTCATCCTGTAACCACACTTAGGTAACTTCAGTTAGGTAATTACCAGAGCACCAGAGGACAGTAAGAACAGAGGCCTCAGAGGTCCGGAGGATGGGAGGACCGGAGGACCAGAGAACTGGAGGACCGGAGGACCAGAGCACATGTGACCAGTCGTGATCTGGGAGGAGGACTGAACAGTTGTGAGCAGCTATGGAGCTGACCACTGTTACGGTGCCCTCTCCTATCTCTTTCGTTTGCCTGCTTTAAGAGTCATATGAGCTACATTATAAGTTACATTATAAGTTGTAAGTAAGGGGAAATTGGCACCCTGTTATAAAATGAAAGAGTATCCCCTAATGCAGATATGACCTTTTGGAAGGGACACTAGCCGATCGTGGATTGGCCGACTTAGGTCCCGGGCGACCAATCAGGGCCCGCCGTGACGTCACCGAGTGCCCCGGGCGGCGCCAACGTCAGAGTCGACCTGACCTTGGAAGCGACAGGACGCACCTCGGTCAGCTCTCAAGGATTAGAGGCTCTATAAGCCTTTCTTAGTGGATTATTGCTGGCTATCGCAGCCCATCGGATGTATTGGAGACCCCACGCTTCTGGGAAGTTAAAGGAACCAAGTTTATTGAGCAAAAGAGTGCCAAACTTGGAAAATATTCGGCGACGACGCTGGGCGGCGACGCTGGACGTTGTGGGTCTGAAAAGGTGTGGCGGGCAAGCCTAGCTGTGACAGGGTCACATCCACTGAGGGTTTTGGAAGGACGACACGGTGCTTAGGACAAGGAGCAACGCCTTGTGGAAGGGGCGAGTGTGGGAAAATAGTGATTAGCTCAGAGCCTATCGATGAACCAGGATTGGGGTAGCTGAATCTCAGGGATTGGAACGGCGACGACGCGAAGGCTCCACGACACCTGAGGACCTGTGGAACGTTCCTGCATCGTCGAGGATCGACTCAGGAAGCGTGGGAACCTCACACCATCGAGGGACAGGCGTCGTGAGCCAGGAATGTAAGGTAGATCATTTTCCCTCCCATTACCCCTTGTGTGAGTAGGCTAGTTAGGCCACAATAGTTACTTATGTATGTGGCAACAGGACATTAATACTTTAGTAGTAGAATAGGCTGTAAGGCAGCTTGTGTCCAGGACTGTCAGAGGGGACAGTGTGTATGGATGGCAGGACAGTGAAGAAGAGGCGCCGACGTAGTGAAGAGGCCCTCCTGTGAGAGAGTGTGGGA